ACCCCCAAGTGTGAGAATCAAGGAACCCTATCAGGGTAAGCCCACGATTTCCGGCTTGGGGTTCGGACTGGGCGGTGTTCGCGCGGCGAGCTTCTGAGAGCCCCCGCCGCTCCTAAGGCATTCGGCCTGGCTTTCAAATTAAATTCGCGCTTTGCTCTAAGAGTCCGACTAGAGGCCAGTTTCGCTCCGGAAGTACGGGAGTCCAAGGTATTTAGCAAACAAGATCTACCCGATCATCCTCTGCATCTACACTTTGGCCCTCAAGCCTAAACCCAAGGGTCAGCTAGATCTGCCCACACGCACACTATCATGTACTTTTAACACTCTACAGTCTATCCTGTGACAGATTAGAGTAAACCCTAAACCCTAAACCCTAAACCCTAAACCCTAAACCGTATATTTTACCTAACCCCCACTTCCGCCTGCTCGGCAAGGGCCGACAGTCCGAGACCTCCGAGGCCAATCCTACGTTCAGTTTAGGGTTTAGGGTTTAGGGTTTAGGGTTTAGGGTTTAGGGCATTCAGAGACATGCCGGAGGCTGGCTTCAGGGGCTTGGGGCCGGAGCGATCTTAATTAGGGTTTAGGGCTTAGGGTTGTTAAGGTTTAGGGTTTAAGGTAAAAGCTTTAGGGTTTAGGGTTTAGGGTTTAGGATTTAGGATTAAGGGTTTAGGGTTTAGGGTTTTAGGTTTAGGGTTTAGGGTTGAAGGTTTAGGGTTTAGGGTTTAGGGTATGGGGGCCTGAAGAGTTGGAATAGGGGTTTGGGAGGGTACCGTAGAGTCGTCGGTAGAGTAAGGAACCCACAGGTCGAAGGCCTCCGGGGAGGAAGGCTTGGAGTTTTGGGGTTGTGGGCTCAGAGCTTTAGGGGGTTTAGGGTTTAGGGTTTAGGGTTTAGGGTTTAGGGTTTAGGGGGTTTGGGGGGTTTAGGGTAAGTTTAGGGGGGTTTAGGGGGTTTAGGGTAAGTTTAGGGTTTAGGGTTTAGGTGGTAGCAAGCCAGTAGTGTCGATGATGACCACACCAAACAACTCATGCACCCACGTAGGCCCACCCGAAATGATGCCACAGCCCTGGACAACCCACAGAGTTCTCACAACCACGCCCCCAGGCCACATCGGAGCCCTAAACCTTAAACCCTGAACCCTAAAAAAAAAACCTAAAAAACCGAAATAAAAACCCGAAACCCTAAAACCCCAAACCCTACAGCCTAAACCCTAGAGCCTCAGCCCTAAACCCCAGAGCCTGGGCCCTAAACCCCCAGCTCCTCAGGCGCGCGGACTGGCTCGGCCCAGAGACCGTCTTCAGCCCTTGCCACAAGCGGCGGTGGGACACCTGGGGCTCCACACTTAGAGCCCTTCGGGTTTAGGGTTTAGGGTTTTGAGCTGAAGGCGTAAGGTTTAGGGTTTAGGGCTGAAGGTGTAGGGCTTAGGGTTTAGGATTTAGGACTTAAGGTGTGGGGTTTAGGCGGTTTAGGGATTGGGGTTTTAGGGGGGCCTTACCAACAGTTCCGTTGAAGGGCTTCTTTCAGGGTTACTAGACGGTTCACGACAAGGGTTTTGTGTAGGGGCCGGAACCATTAGAACAGGGTTTTGGGGTATGTTATAGTACAAAGAAGAAAGAACCCTAGAGAGTAAGATTACAAATTGCAAGGAACCCTCAGGAATGACGTTCTCAAATAGTAAGAAAGCCTAAGGGAACCGTTTGCAATTATTCAGGCCCATACATATACCTATATATACTGCACAAGATGCATGAATAAGGCGAAGGATCGTGATGATGGCAAGCGTGGTACTACAAGCACAAACGACCATGGCGGTGACCATGACGGATGATGTGGTAAAATCAGAAGACTTGCAATGGTCAGAAAAACTGCAAAAAATTACGTCTTGAAGCCTCCGGGCGGCCCCAAAACCCTCTACACTCAAGCAACCTCGGCAAGGAGTATGATCCTGTGTGCACAGTCCCAACAGCGCAGAACTTGTTCAAACTCCCAAACCCCGAACCCTAAACACGACAACCAAATCCAAAACAAACCCTAAACCCTACATCTTGAACCCTAAACAGACTGAACCCCAAGCACTTCTCTGCCCGGCTGCCGGCTCCACCAGCAGCGCGGCGCCCAAGAGACCAGCCATCAGGCGCATGAACTGGGCGGCATGGTGATGGTGTTGTTGTTGCTACTCCTATTATTATTCCTACTCTTTTTGCTACTACGAGTACTAGTGGTAGGAGTGCAAGTATGAGTACTATGACTACTTGTACGACTGCTCTTCAGAATTATCATTGCTCTTTGTACGCTCACTACAACGATTACTATCACGATCATTGCATCTGGACATAGCTCACTCCAGTTCTTCTTGCATCATGTAACAGCTTAGGCTTAGACAAAGCGATTCCCAGTTTCTGGTACTGGTATACTAACTTTCTAAACGAGGAGGCTTATTAACACTCGCAGAACCCAACCAAAAAGCAGTCAATCCCAGAGCCCGAAAAGCACCAGACGACCTGCTGAAGGTGTTGTGAGCCCGGAAACAGGGTTTTGGGTTTAGTGTCCGGTGTGCAATAATACAGGGGCCTTAATAATTAGAGTAGGGTTTTGGGGTCCCTTATACTATAATTATAATCAGGAACCCCCGAAATGGTATAGGTAATTATTTAGACCGCTATACTACCCTGGAGCACCTCCGAAGACTCATGCATTCAGATCTTAGGCCATCAGCCCTACACCCAAAGCCTTTAGCTTACATTCCCTCCCCTTGTAGTCTCTCATACAACTGTAACATCATATCCCCCCAAAGAAAAATCCCAACCCCAAACCTCCGAATCCTGAGCCTTACACCCTAAAACCCTAAACCCTAAACCCCAAAACCCTAAACCCTACACCCCAAAACGCAAGCCCCGAAATAGCAGGAAAGTGGGGCCTGCTTCAGCTCCAGGGACAGCCCGAGCACACCGAAGGCCTGGCAATACTTCGGTCGACGCAAAAGGGTAGTGCTCTAAATTAAAGCTGAAGGATTAGGGTTTAGGGTTCAGGGTTTGGGGTTTAGGGTTTATGGGTAGTTCCCTAAATTAGGGTCCCTTTTAGGGCTCCTTAAAGGGATCTATAAGTGTCTCTATAAGGGTACTATAAGGGCTCTATATTTATGTGGGTAGTTCTCTACATTAGGGTCCCTTTTCGGATCCTTTTTATAGGGGTGCCGTACAATATTGGGGACCTAAAAAGAGACCCTAATTTAGAGAACTACCCATAAAGGGTTCAGGGACTAGGGCTTACAAGGTTCAGGGTTTGGGGTTTACGAGGTTTAGGGTCCGGGGTTTAGGGTTTAGGGCTTAGGTTTAGTGCGGCGGCTTAAGGTTTAGGGTTCTTGATGAGATTTGCAACGCTGAAGGGTTTAGGGTCAAGGGTTTTTGAGAGATAGCGTTATCTTGAGGGTTTGGATACAGCCCGAAAAGCACTGTGTTCGGTCCGTACTCATACTTCCGGTCTTCGGTTCAAGCTGCGGGTTTACCCGAGAATGGGGTTTAGGGTTTTAGGGGTCTGGGGCTTAGGGTTCAGAGGGTGCTTTGGTGGATCATATTAGGCGCTATCACAAACAGACCTGGCTTGGAAAGACCGCCAACAAGAAGCCAAAGACCGTTGACAACAATAACACCAATAGAAACAGGATTGAAGAGGACGTTGCTTGCAGGCTTGCAGCAGCCAGGCTTCTTCTGTGACGAAAATCTTCTTCTTGACCCTAAACCCTAAACCCTAAACCCTAAACCCTCCCTAAACCCTAAACCGGCTATTCTCCTTAAATTCTCCCAAACCCCTAAGTCGAGACCTCCACACCGGCAGTCATTGGTCTGGTGACGATGCTAGTAAACCCTAGACCCTAACCCCCCTAAACCCCCTAAACCCCCTAAATCCCCTAAACCCCCGAAATCCCCTAAACCCCCTAAATCCCCTAAACCCCCTAAATCCCCTAAACCCCCTAACCCCAACGATGCATGGTCTAAACCCTAGACCCTAAATCGCCTAAACCCCCCCCAAACCCCCTGAATCCCCTAAACCCCCTAAACCCCCTAAACCCCCTAAACCCCCTAAACCCTCAACCCTAAACCCTATAGACCCAAAACCCTATAGACCCTAAACCCTGTATAGTTCATGAGGTCCCAAACCTGGTGGAACCCTGGCCCGGATGTTCAGGGCCTTCGCGCGCATCTCAAGCCAACGCCTCTCCACCTCGAGTGACTAGGGTTTAGGGTTCAGGGTTTGGGGTTTAGGGTTTAGGGTTTGGGGTTTAGGGGTTTAGGGATTAGTATATGTATATATAGATATAGATATAGGTTTATATATATATATATATGCATATATATATATATACAGCAAGGTTTTGAGGGTACTGGCGTTAGACGTTTTACAGTCGCGTTGACCGGTGAACTTTACGCTTGACCTGGAACCACATCTTGGAGCAAGCTGGGTCCCGAGGACTCTGGTTCAAAGCCTCCCAGAAACGCCACACCCGAGACCCTCAGCCTGGCGCCCAAAATCCTAATAATTAGAATAGGGTTTCGGGGTCCCTTATAGTGTATTTTCTATAATAAAGGAACCCCCAAAATAGTACAATTTAATAATCAACCCTATAGGGGCCTTAATAAATTAGAATAGGGTTTCGGGGTCCCTTATAGTAGAGTTCTAACAAAGGAACCCGAAGCCGAAGCGAAATTCTGTAAGCCGTAGACATTCAAAGAAAAGCCCCAACGCGTTGCTTCCTGAACCTCATGCCCGAAACATGAAGCATTGTAGCGTCGTGCCCCAAACCCCCAAGCCTTAAGCCCCTAAATCCGTAAGCCTAAACCCTAAACCCTGCAAGCGGATGGCCTGCACGGACACGTTGTAGCTGCCCAAGCCGCTTTTCCTTCGTCCAAAGCAAGAGTCCACCTTGTGTAGCCAGGATGAAACGTGGCGTATCTATAAGGTCCCCGGGACTCGCTAAGCTCTGCTTGAAAAGAAATGACTTCGATCACATGATCATGGACACGAGAGAGAAGTCAGGTGCTTCGCACTTGCATCCCACCCAGTCCGCAAGGTAGTAAGGACTCTCTCCCTCCTGCGGTTGCTCTGCTGCTGCAGCTGTTGTTTGCTGTAGAGGATCCATGCCAGCCACCTTTCGCCTGCGAGCACTTCGCATCTGATCGTCTTCCACGATGCGCCAGCAATGACCCATCTTGTAGAACATCTCCAGCTCGTGGTAGCCATTGGCCTTAGTCAAGGAGTTGCCCAGTTGAGCTTCTGAGTGAACCCAACGAATCTGCACCTTAGTATCGTACTGTGCTTGTTTGACACTTAGCAATTCGATGTTTGCCCGCTTCTCTGCGCCCTTGATGGACATCACCTCGGTTTGGAGCTTGTCATACACATTACGGGAGTCCGTTACCACACAACCTGTGGTGCGACGTACAGTCGCCAGAGGTTCCTTAGTGTTCACTTGACCGAACAGAAGCTCGGACCAGTGGAACCTGGCAAAGAAGAGCTCATCTTCTCCGTTGACAGCTGCCAGAGTTTCAGCTGCCCCCGGACTCCTGCAGACCCTATCTATACGATGCGACTGCCACGATACTAACGTGATCGGACAAACTTCACCCTGCAGAAGCCAAACCAATCACAATTCCTTGAGTGCTACCGCCGTCTCTCCGGTTCTGGCTGGCAGCATCCACCCAAGCAAACAGGCCTAGTTCAACCTCAGGTGGAAAAGGATGAATTAGCATCTGGTGCTCTTTTTGCTCCTTAGTGCGCCGCAGTAAGTTGTTGGCTTGTAGCAACGTAGCCACTGTACTGTTGTTCGTCTCTGAAAGAAGGAGACCTACCGGTGCTGACACATGTGGAGCAACTTGTTGCGCATGCCAACTCAGTGCGCCCAGTAAGGCTCGCAGCTGTGTTTTCTCCCACCCAGTGGTAGACTCGTTCAACTGCTTACGACGACTGCTGTTGACCGGAATCTCGGGAATGTCCTCAACGTACTTAGGCTGGGAAAGACTAAAACCACCATTGGCTGTCTTCTGAATGCGTACTCCACACTGTATGAAGTCGTTCTTGTCCCAATCACCCCAATGAAAGCGGTCCTTGATCTTCGCGACAATAGCCTGCCAGCCTTGGTCATCTTCGCCTCCCGTGAACATGAAATCATCTACATGACCTGAAATCACGGCGCGAACGCGTCCTTCGGGTCTCCAGACCCAGGTACAAGCATCTGACCAGAGGCGTTCCAGGCCGAGACTGGCCAAGAAATCCGATACTGTCTTGTACCATTCCAAAGGTGCGTCCACCAGACCATAGCAAGCTTTCCGCAGCCTGGTAATCGATCCATCTGGCAACCCCATTTGCTGAAGAATTTCGGGGCACGGCACGCAAAACAACTCACCAGGATATTCGCGGCCTTGGAGAAACGCTCCCGACACCTCTCCTTTATACACATTCCAGTTGTGCGTCGCGGCAAGTTGTAGGAGATATTGGCGGCTCAAGCGGGTCATCACTGGAGCGGTGGTCGCGCGGTGCGCGTATCCAGGGTCTTGGTAGCCTAAGAGCACTGCGCGTGCCTTAGGCTTCCGGGAGCCGTCTTCACGCGTCTTCCAAGTAAGCACCCACCTCATGCCAATTGCTTGGTCCCGTGAGGGTCTCAGATGAGCCGGTAATGCTTCAAATGCTCCAGCGGCGATAAAGTTTCGGACCTCGATCATCTTCGCTTGTTGAAAAGCTTCGCGTTCGTCCTGCGTGAGCCGTTTCTCCGAAACCTCAATGGCCTGACGTTTCATCGCTCCCACGAAGTAGGATTGAAGATTTTCCGTAGCCTTGTTCCAGGAGCGTCCTTGTTGAGGTAAGTCGATGGCCACTTCCACGGCTGCCTGTTGATCTCGCCAGTAGTCCGCCTCGTCCTTGCGCCAGATTTCGTCGCGTATGGTCTGATACCAGCATTCAGCCTTTTCCGTGTACCCTTGTGGGGCGCCGGCCTCGCGTCGCGGTCTCGCGGGTCGTGAGGCCTCTGCAGGGGTAGGCTCGTCCTCCTCGTCCCAGTTGACGTTCTCCACTGTGGCTGGTGCGGCTCGTTTACGTCGTAGTCGGTAACGTACCGGCGGAACCTCTTGTTCCGGGTCTTGGGCCCGAAACCACTCGTCCTCCTCCGGCTTGTCCTGGGAGTAGTCCTGGTACTGGTTTCCGCCAAGTTCCTCTGCAAGACGAGTGAAGGTCCATGGCGTAGACTCCTCGCCTTGCGTGCTCGCGAGCGTGTCCAAGAGCTCCTCCCGTTCTGATGCCAATCGTAGCTGCTCCACGCAACATTTGATTAACTGTCGTCCGCGGACGCACCACACTATGCCTCCAGGCTTGATGGTTCCATCCGACTGTCGGGATTCCATGGCCAACACTCTCGCTGGACCCAGAAAGCGTCCTTGTTTGGAACCTGGTTGTTTTCGACTCTCTCCAGACTCCTGGGAACGCCAGAAATACACAAGATCACCCGGCTGAAAGTCCTGGACCTTGCGCGATCTTGAGTTGAGCGCTCGACTCACTCTTTGTCGCGCATTCCACTCTGCATGAGCCTTCTCGGCCTCCGCTCGTAGCTTAGCCGACTGGCGAAACTCTTCGGAGGCGTTCTCTATGATCCGATCATCTGGCACAGCATGCGGCACATCAATGAACCGGCCCGTCACGTCGGGGGCCTTTCCGAGCGCATGCTGTACGGGCGAGAAACCCCTGACTTGATCCCTGTGATTGAACACGGTGACAGACATAGAGAGAGCGGCTTCAGGACTTAAATCGGGATCGTCGGCACACAACTTGTCCAAGACTGATTTGAGTCCTTGCACTGCTTGTTCACACACTCCAATTTGCCAATGCGCATCAGCAGGAACGTTGTCCAAGAATATGTGTTCCCTATCGCAGAAGTCCACAATCCCCTGACTCCTCAAAGCACCCGCCGGATCCACACGAAGGGTACGCGGCATCCCAAAGTACTGACCCCAGGCTTCCCTGAAGTACTGAAGACAGGTCGCAGTGTTCGGTTGCTGTTTGGGACCCTTACTTAACACCTTAGCCACTCTGAACCTGGACCCCTCATCGATCACCACCATGAACTGCACATGTTCCTGGGTCTTGGGGTGCCTCCAGTGACCTATGTCCGCTGACACCGTATGCCATTTGGGCGGTAAGGCTTCCAAGGAGGACAGGTGCCGGGGCTGAACCCTGCTACGCTCTTGACAGATAGAGCACTTAAAATCTTTGGCCAACTCCAAGACTTCCGCACTCGCGTTTCTACGTTTGAGGGTATCCACAAGAGACCTCACACTACCGTGACCTGTGGCGGCATGAAGCAGATAAAGTTGTCGTTTGATACGGGCCTTGCGAACACTCTCATGCCTAGGACCAGACGAAGACGACGACGGGGCCTCCCCTGCCAGACAAGTCTCTTGACCTTGGGGCCTGTTTCGGGGAAGCCTAAATCCCAATCTCTGAAGCTTCATCCGCTGATCCGAATCCAGGTAGGAATGACCGCGACTCACATAAGTGCACACCGTATTCCGAATTCCCTTCCACTCTTCTGGTCCATGCCATGCCTTAGGGAGGAACCGAGTCACCTTGTGACGCACCTCGTGTAGCGTCCCATCGCGCTCTTCGCCCGTTGGTAGCACCTTCCGGACAGTATTCTGGGTGCTTCCGTTCGGAACGGAAGCACCCTTCCCAGCAGGCTCTAGGTCTTCTACCCAGATCCTACCGTTTTCAAAGTTACTGACTCCTATAAGGCAGTTCGGGAACGAGGCATCATTATGAACGTCTCTATGCAACTGGCATTTATGGTTCAGATTGATCACCAAGGTGGTGGCAACGGGGCTCTCGGTATTCCAATGCTTCACATACGACAACAAATACCTAGTGGTTTCCGGCAGTTGCTCGGTTCGACTGGTTATGCCATAATGGTTGCCGTGAGAATACGCACCTAGGACCACGTAGTGCTTGCGGTTCAGCTCCTGTTTGCTCTTGGCTTGGGTATCCAGATCTCGAGGAGAGAACATGCTCAACAAGTGGTTGCAGGTTTCATGTGTGTAATCACCCGACAGGCGTTTGTCCCTAGCATAGTCTTCCAGTGTTGATTGTTCGCTTTTGCTGTAGCACGCTTCGGGAATCACCTCAGTAAGCTTTTCTCCTACGAATTCAGGAATTTCGGAGGACAGGTCATTAGCTTGAGGGCTCCAGGTGGGCTTTTGAGGGACTTCAGGGACAGTCGCTCCTAAACACACGGCACATTTTCGGGGTCTTTGAGGCAACGACACTTCTGAACAGGAACAACAGCTTCCCTCTCCGAAACTTCGGGGCAGCACACTGGAACCCTGACATTCTTGCATCACGGATGTGAAGTCCAGCTCCTGGAGAATGGCTTCCACCGCTCGTCGTGTGAACTCGCGGGTGTAGCCCATGACATCACTAGATTGACATCGCCCGTGTTTGGCATGCTGGGGACAGTGACAGGGGAGATGGAGCTTGGCTGCCAGGCGCTTTTGAGTGGTAAGAATCTTCCAACCCGAACTCAGAAGCAACCCATCCGAAGAAGACCGAAGACCGACTCTACATCCCTTAGTCACCGCTTGAAACAGTCCGTACTTAGTCTGAAGTTGCTGAAAAAGCGGGAGGCGCCAAGCCTGACATCTCTCAGGAAGTTCGATTGTCGCATGAACCCCACGTTGCACACAGGCATGAAAAACAACACACGCTCCCACATACTCTCGCATAGCATGTTCCCTACTCTTCTGCAACTTACTACGCTGTTCAGGATTGGATTGATTAGCATTCTGGAGAGAAGAGAACGCAGCTCCAGGTAGCGACATCCACACATGAGCCGGCTGGTGTTCCTCCAGAGCCTGAAGGATCTTACGAACCCCTTTATCGGTATGATACTCCCCTCCATTCCAGCTGGCAATGCGCTCTGCAGCTCCTGAACTAGAGGTCGCGGCTACCACCGCGTCCGTCAAGGGGCTGTCCGGGGAACATCCAACTTCAAGCAGCTTCACTCTATTGCAACAAGCTAAGTCCTGAAACAAACCCGGAACCACACTCCACGCACTGGTCTCTAAGCTCTTGGCCCTGGGCAAACTAAGCTGTTGACTAAGTCGCTGCGATGCGCTAAGCTGGTTGCTCCCTCCGGACTCATACTCACTCAGGCCGCACTCGAGCTCCTCGAGGACAGCATCATTGTCTTGGGCGGCGACGGACCTTGAGTGGCTGCCATAGACGACGGCTGTGCTGTCGCCGGAGAATCGTTCTTGCCCTCCGTGCTCTCGATCTCGATGTCCTGATCCTTGCCCTTCTTGCGCACCGGCTCGGGGCATCGCTCCGACTTGAGGGCTACCACTTCCGCGTGCAGCTCCTTGGTCAAGGCCGTCAGAGCATCGACGCGCTCGTCCCGATTGGGTGTCGCCAAGGTCACCGTCGTGCTCCCCACGTAGCCGCTCTTCTGTAGAAGAGCCAAGATCGTCTGGCCCGGCTTCGCTGGAGAATCGGACTGCAGCTCGGCATGGTCCTGAGACTCGATCCAGCGAGCCAGACGTCGTAGTCGTGGATCGCTCTCGGTCGGCCTGTCGCGGGCCGTCTGTAGGACCCATTGGCAATACGACTTTTCCTGAGTGTACAGCTCCTGGTACGTCAGCAACCCGTGTCTGCCGAAGGATACCGCGTCGCGGAAGTCGCCCTCCGTGAGCTCCATCACTCGCTTCATTCCCTCCATCTTGATCCGATCGACTGTCCAACGATCCAGATTGGTCATCCGAAGCTCGCTCTCGCAGAACCTGATCAGCTCGCTTTTGCGCGTCCGTGCAGCTGCGTTGAGTTTCTGCGTCAGCTCCTGCATGGGCGATTTGTCCTTTGACTTCTTCTTGATGTTGACACTCATGTCCTCGCCCGTGAGCTCGGCAATGCGAAAAGCTAGCTCCAGTTTGGTCCAGTCTCGTAGAGGTTGCTCTCCCAACTGGATCAACACTGCACGTAGTTCCTCGCGGGACAAGTCGGCCATGATCACTCTCACAACGAGGGAAGGATGAAGAGGCGGATGTGCTGAGCTCGGACCCTGCTACATGTGCATGTTGTTTGTGCGTAGGCTGCTGCATCACATCACTCTCAGAGTCCTGACTACCCTCATGCAAAACATTAACCTTAGCAACACAACTAGTTTCAGTTGTGGCATCACCCTGTCTTGAAAACCCTGCATTGACCTTCCTTTCACCGTCAAGACTCGGATCAGGAAGGAGCTGTCCCTAGCCAGAAATCACTGGCGGCTCTGATTGAGCCTCTTCTGTACATAAAGTGGAGGGACTGTCTATGCTGGCACTCGTAACACTCGTGCGGCGCCTCAGGTAATCACGCAAGGAGGGAACTGGCTGATTGGTCTCTTCAGCTCCTTCCAGTATGTCACCTGTGAGGGGAAGTAGAAGATGGCCGCTTGAGGAACATTCAAGCTGTAGCACTCGTCGATCATCAACCTTTCGGAACACGATGCTGTCGTTGGAGAAGTCTATCATTGCACCCAAGGCCCTTAAGGTTGTGATACTAAGAAGCACTGGCGCGCTGCCTTTGTCGAGCGCGTGGATGCGAATCACTCCTGGACGACCACCTGCAGCAAGCCGCAAGTGGAGCGTAGAAACGCATCGATCCTCTGAAGAGTTCCCGAAGCCAAACACTGGTGCATCGCCAGTGTCAATGGCGTCAACTCCATGCTGGCTCAAGCGCATCATGTGTTCCAAGGCCTCAACTGACCCTAGCGACTTCGTGGCTCCACAGTCGATCACGGCCTTGCCACTTGAGACCGCCTCGGCCGTGGTGACGAGGTTCGCCTGAGCCTCCTGTGTAGCCCAGGCGGCCTCGACCTCATCCTGAGCAAAACAGATGAAGGGGGCCATCTCTTTCTGGATCGGTGCCTGAGGCTTTGGGGCCATACACTCGGCGGCCTTGTGACCACTCTGACCACAACGAAGACAAAGTCGAGGACCACTTGGCTGCGAGGAGGAGGAACCTGAGCCGCGATAGTATTGGCGATTCTGTTTCACCTGTTTCTGGCGCTCACGAGCACCACGTAAGGTGCGACGGGCGGTCTGCATCGCCGCCATAGCCTGTTGTACTTCTTGCTCGGTTTCTCCCCACATGGCCAATCCCTCGTCATTCAACTCCGCCTCCGCGTTGAAGGCGGCCTCGGGACCCTGGTCCTCGCCATCATCATCCTCGTCCAGGCCTAGGTAGGCCTCGCCGAGAAACCCTTGTCCCCGCCGATGACTGTCCCGTTTCTTGAGGTCCGCATCCACGAAATGGTTGCGCAGCTCTTGCGCCACTCTTTGCAGTCGCATGTCCCCTTGCGTGGCCACCATCACAGTGTTCCGCTCTGCCGGCTCAAGCCCAGCATCTTGCAGCAACATCCATGATTGAACAAACTCGGGTATCAGCTCGGGTAGCTGAGTACGGACCGAGCTTGGCCAATAACCCGCACGACTCGAGTTGTCGTACCAGTTGTAGCCACTCCATTGATTCCATGACTGACCACGAGAGTCCCAGGAGCTCTGCCACTCCCAAGTGCGCCAGGTTTCGGCTGCATCCGTATTTGCAGTACCAGCATCACTCACTGGCGCCGCCGCTTGGATGCCACCATCGCCACCTTGCTCGCTGGCCTCTGTTCCGGCATCTCCACTCATCCAGGAATCTGTACTCAGCCGCCGCCCTTGGCGAGGCTGCCAGCTCCAGGTGGGCGCCGCTGCGTTCGCGGTGTCACTTCGTTGATCGTGATGAGGACGTACTCGGTCCATTGCTTGCTGAGCCCTCACATACAGCTCGCACTTGCGACTGATATAGTCGCCCATGAGCTCGCCTGGTCGGCGTCTTGAGTTCTTAAAGTACTTGGCGAGAAGCTCTGTAAGCTCCGGAACCTGTGGTTTACCCAGGCATCGTCTGAGGTGACTCAAAAGATGATCCACGCCACCGGCAAACGACACCCAGTCTGCTGGTTGTCCAACCACTAATCGACGAGCTGAACCTTGAAGTTCACTGAGAAGGCGAGGTGCTACGAGATACCTCTTGTGATACGGCGTGGCCTGCTCATAGAGCTGTGCTGATTCACAGTAAGACTGAAAAGTATCAGCAGAGCCGTCCCATGCAGGAACGCCGTCACGGCCCTTTTGGGCCCCGCTACTTCCTGTATCCTGTGCCATCCACTGGATTCCCGCTGAGGGTAGTACCGTCAGCAGGCTGAAAACTGCCCTAGATCGTCTCGAGCTCCTCAGAGCTCCGCTACCATGCAAGCGGATGGCCTGCACGGACACGTTGTAGCTGCCCAAGCCGCTTTTCCTTCGTCCAAAGCAAGAGTCCACCTTGTGTAGCCAGGATGAAACGTGGCGTATCTATAAGGTCCCCGGGACTCGCTAAGCTCTGCTTGAAAAGAAATGACTTCGATCACATGATCATGGACACGAGAGAGAAGTCAGGTGCTTCGCACTTGCAAACCCTAAACCCCAAACCCTAAACCCTAAAACAAGCAGAAGTGGAGCCGTCCAGGAGCCAGCAACGCACAAAAGCCCGGGACAACTCGCCCTAGCCTGAGCTCTAAACCCCAAACCCTGAACTCTACACCCTGAGCCCAAGACCCTAGACCCTAAACCTAAACCCTGAACCCTAAACCCTAAACCCTAACCCTGAACCCTGAACCCCAAAACCCTGAACGGAACCCTAAATCCTAAACCCTGAACCCTGAACCCCTAAACCCAAACCCTGAACCCTGAACCCCTAAACCCTAAACCCTAATCCCTAAACCCTAAACCTCAAATCCGAAACCCCAAACCCCAAACCCTGAATCCCAGAATGCTAATCCCTGGACCCCTAAACCCTAATCCCTGACCCGATGGCTACCCACCTCGCGCTTGTCGGTGCAGGTCCACGGCCCGAACGACCGGCCGCCATCCCCGGCACCCGGAGGCGAGAACTGGACCATTCCTGAGGTTTAGGGTTTAGGGATTGGGGATTAGGGTTTAGGGATTGGGGATTGGGGATTAGGGTTTAGGGTTTAGGGTTTAGGGTTTAGGGATTAGGGTTTAGGGTTTAGGGATTAGGGATTAGGGTTCCCGTTTTAGGGTTTCGGATTAGAGGTGGTTCCGGGGGCTTCAGGATATGGGCTTTGCGTCAGGAATCTATAGAGCCCTCTACCCTAAGCCCCAAGCCCTAGTTTGATTACCGTCAAGTCCCTAGACCCTAAACCCTAAACGGAAGGGTCCCTGCCCTAAGAAGGGACCCCGAATCCAAATACGCTATATAACCCTTATACTCCCCTGATATAGTCTCATAAAGCCCCTATATAACCCCAAGGGTCCCTTTACCCAAAACCCTAAACCCTAAACCCTAAACCCTAAACCTCCTCTAGTCCCTTGACAAACCCTGTAAACCCACCAAAGCCTTTTCAGCCTGGGAGCGGTGGGCGGCCGCCAGGGGCTGAAAAGCATCCTCCCCTGTGGCGAGCTCCACCTTTCAGGCTCTAGGGTTTAGGGTTTAGGGTTTAGGGTTTAAGGGTTTAGGGTTTAGGGTTTAGGGTTTAGGGTTTAGGGTTTAGTTCGCATGCTTTAAGAGTACAGGGCCTAGGGTTTAGGGTTGTGCGTTGAGGGGCTTAGGGCTTATAGGGGCTTTAGATTCGGATTGCATGGGGTTCATGGTTGGGGATTGTAGAAAGTGAGCTTCCCAGAGACTCCAGTATCCCTTAATTAAGGACTATACCTTAAATTATAGTAGGAACCCTAATAAGACTTGAGGTATATTCCTTAATTAAGGGATATTGGAGTCTCTGGGTTGAGGGCCTGGGTTAATGAAAGCCGAGGCTTCTGAAATGGAAAAAGGGACCCTCATGTTGAGCCCTAAATCGTAGGATCCCTACTACAAAGACCTGTCTGAAGGAGCCCGAGTTTTTCAGAAGACCGCCATTTAAGGTGCAGGCTGAAATTTCCGACCCCAGCGGGGGCCTAAGTTGGGTTTGCAGAAATCCGAGTGCCCCCTGAATTGAAGGAAAAAGCGAGGAGTGACACTTTCTTCCGGCCATTGAAGCCTCTGGTGCCTAAGGTCAGGACGTTGGGATACTCTTCGTGTTCGCGACCCAGACTACACATCCCAAGACGGTTGAGGTTTAGGGTTCAGGGCTTCGGGTTTCGGGTTGAGGATTCAGGACGAAACATCCCTCCGCGCATGGCGCCAGAGCATACTTGCGTTCTTGCCAAGAAATCGCTCTTCCAACAGCCTTGCACGCGCTCTGCATGATTTTACCAAAGCGAAACGACTTCCCACATCCTGCGTGCAAAAACCCGCAAAACGGGAAAAAAAAAAAAAACACAAGTCGTACCTCAAACTTCGGGTTTTAAGCCCTAGAATCCCTAGAAAGCCGCGCAAAAATCTTCTTCGTCTGATGGACTGGATACCCTACCAACCCTGCATAAACGAGTCCCTTCCTTCTCCACCCTAAACCCCTAAACCCTGAACCCCAAAAACGTTAACCAGCCTCTACGCAGAGAATGTCGGGCCGTGCCGGAGAAGTCGCCCGGTCGCCCTGCACAATACGGCCAGGACAGATCTAGTGGGATGGAGGGAGGCCACCCTTGAAAAAGGAGGCCCCTAAAGGATTTTTCTAACAAGAAAGACGACATAGTAAACCCTAAACCCTAAACCCTAAACCCTTTCGCCCCTTAGAAAAATCCGAATAGAAGCCCTTCAAGGACTGATGACAGGCACCCTAAGTGAACCGCAGCCACAACCAGCGCCTCTCTGTCTCTCTGCACTTCCGACTCGATCCCTAAGTGCAGCCGCCCGGCGATCCTGCCACGATTCCAGTAAAGGGCCGAAGGTAATATATGGGGCCTGAATAACTAGAGCTGTAGACCCTAGACCCTAAACCCTAAACCCTAGGGTTTAGGGTTTAGGGCCCACTACTAAAATGGCTGACAAGCCACCCCCGGACCTGAAGAAGGAAGCAACAGACTATTTAGGGTTTGGGGTTTAGGGTTTGGGGTTTAGGGTTTAGGGGTTTAGGGTTCAGGGTTTAGGGTTTCGGGTTTAGCGGTTTAGGGTTCAGTTTAGGGACGCTATGTATGGGCAGTTTATAAGCCACCATCAAGGCGCTCTGCTTTCTAGATCCTTCCTCTGGGCCTGTGCATCTGTTTTGGAGTGTCTTCTACATGCCTGTTTTGCTACGGCCCGGGGTCTTGGGTTGGGGGCTTCACTAGGGCTTGTAGGTTGGGCTACAAGTGACAAACACTCAAAATAGGTTGCAACCGACTTTGGGGATTTTTGAGCTTGCGGGCGCTTCGAATCGGCTTTCAGCGCTGGAACCCTGGGGGATGGCCTGAAACCCAAGAGCCCTTTAGCAAAACATGACGCCCTATTGGTCACTTATTTTTGTTCCCCTCACCCTCAACCCGAAACCTTAAGCCCTGTAAAGATTCCTTCTAGCTCCCTTGAAGCTCCCTTATAGACTCCCTGTAGTTCATTAATCACAGACCCTGGCCTCCCCCAAGCCTCAGTCTCAAACCATGAAGCAACAGGAGGGTGTCAACGGCAGGTCTCTGTGCTTCTCAGGTTTAGGGTTTAGGGTTTAGGGTTCTCGTTCAATATCCGGGATATCCTTGTCCAACATGCCACGGGAACGCGTTGCGTGCTGTTTAGACGACAAGTTACTCAACAAATCGCTCCCATCTCCACGTTTTCAGGGCGACATCGATGACGCTTCGGCCAGTCACGAAATGACCAAATTCAACTCCCGGCAGCAAGTAGCAGTCCTCTGATCCCCTAGGCTGAAGTGCAGCACCTCAAGGAGATGTCCCGTGGGGCTTGGTGGTTAAGGCCGTACGGCTCGCGATCTAGGATCGAGGATTCAGAGGCTTTAGCTTCGGGAGTTGAGGCTTCTAGCTTCTGGTATATTCCCTAAACCCTAAACCCTAAACCCTAAACCCTAAACCCTAGACCCTAAACCCTAAACCCTGAACCCTAAACCTTAAAACCCTAAGAGAGCCCGAAGGCTTTCTGGTTCCGATGGAATGCTCTGGGCTGTCTCGTAGCTTCCGGGCAACACCGGCTGAAAGTGTCTCCTGGTTTCTAACTGGAACCCAATCCTGACGAACCTTAAGCGCACATGCTGCACCCTGAGACGTAGGGGCCTTCTAGATTCTACGATAACGAAAACAAGGAAGCCTAAGAAGAATGTCGGGAACTATTTGGGCTCCGATATTTTCCAGGAGCCGTGTTGGGCTTGCGGTGTTTTGAGCTTGCGGTCGACGCGTTTGGGGGTTTAGGGTTTAGGGTTTGGGGTTTTGGGTTTAGGGTTTAGGGTTTAGGGTTTGGGGTTTTGGGTTTCGGGTTTGGCTCATGAGGAGCCTAAACAACCCTAAACCCCCTTCGACCCTCTTGAAGTGAAATCCGAGACCATACCAAAGCCCCCTGAACCGTATGCGTACCCTAAACCGCTGAACCCTAAACCTGAAACCCGAAATCTTAAACCCTCAACCCCTGAACCCTGAACCCTGTAACCTTCAAAACCAACCCAAACCGCCCCAACCTTCAAAGTTTCGAACCCCAAACGCTGAACCTTAATGGTAGGAGTTAAGGTTCAGGTTTTAGAGTTTAGGGGATTTAGGGTTTAGGGTTGTTAGGATTAGGGGGACCCTTGGGGATATAGACCCTCTCCACAAGGTCTAGTGGGGTAAGAAAGGTCCCCTGTAATGGTTCCCCAATACTACCTGGGAAATAGAACCTCATAGATCTCATGGATTCCCTATAGCTCCCTTATACTTCCCTCAAACAAGCCGTAAAGATCCCTTACTTCTAGATCCCTCAGAACTCCCTTAAAGAACCCTGAAAGATCCCTTCTAGATCCCTTATAGATCCCTGGCGGATCCCGCTAAACCCTAAACCCTGAACCCTAAACCCTAAACCCTAAAACCGAAACCCGAAATCCCTCAAAGATCCCTTTAGAACCCGTCTTTTGAGCCCCAGATGCGCGGATGACGTTCAAGCGCAGGCTGTCCCGTAGCCCTCCGAGGCCTCTTTTCGGGGGTTTGAGGTTTAGGGCTTAGG